TGCCGCCAAAGCACTGGTGTTGACTGATGGCCGGGCGTTTTCCATGGTAGGTGTATGTTATCGAGGCAAGTGGACGCCTCTCAATTTGCATCAGCTTGTTGACCGCCTTCGGAAATGCAGGCATGACACTTAGTCTCAAGATAATTGACATTTTTTCTTGTATGTATATGTGTGTCTGGCACCCTGGTGCGTTGCTGCCCTCCTACCCTACCCGTCTTTGGTGCAGTCTGCTTGGCATCAGATTGGCTTGTGAAGGGGTCGGAAGAACCAAGGTCAAAAATAAAGCAGTTATCGTCATCAACAAAAACACTCGTTGCACAAACATCATTGTCACCATCATTATTATCATCATCATCATCCATCCATCCATCATGCGCCATCATTCTGTCACCTTCTTTGTTGTTGTCCATTTTCATCCTTATCATCGTCATCATCATCACCCACTAGGTCTTGGCTTGTTTTGCGTGTCAACCGATGATAGTCATCACTTTTGCAGGTGCAACGGTGCAGCCTACACCCTCAGGTTCTTTCCGGCAACAGCCTCGCCATCCCCAGCCATCCCAGGGTCATGCTTGGCACCTGACCACCCTGTAAGCACCAGCAAGTTCAACTCTTCATCCTGGACCATGTGCAACAAAATAAACCCTTTTGCCATCAGGCAACCAGTTTGCAAAAAGCCGTGTGCGCTTGACCCTTTCGACCGCAGCCAGGTGGAAGATATACTATCCAAGCACTCGGTCGTCCTTGGCCCCAGAGCAGGGATGCCGCATTAAATTAAGATCATGGCTTACTGAGGTGGTGTTCTCCAAGGAGTGGTGCCCGTTCTGTAGCAAGGCAGGGGGCAAATGGTGCAGCAAGGTGAGCCATTGCCAGCACGATAGAGAACAATGACATAAACGACAGGACTCAATTGACGTTGGCAGGCTGTCGTTTCACGGCCTGATTCACTCGCACACCTGGTGGGGGGTGGTCAGCCGTGGATGCCTTCTTGAATCCCTCTTGTCCATTGTGGAAGCAGGCAGATAAAAAGCCCAAAGACTATGTGTGTGATGACCTGATTCTCACTGGATGGAAGTTCCACAGATTGCAGCACCAGCGCAACACCAGGGTTTCGAGGGTGGAAAACCACCAGGGACTCAGGGAACTCAATGCCAGGTGCATCTACAAAGCGGCTCGAAAGAGGGCTAAATATTTGTTAGAGGTCGTTATCTAAAGTCCCAAATTTAATGCTTTACCACCGGCTGGCAGGCTAAAGCGGCCTTTGAAAGCATTGAGGCAAAGGTCTTCATCAAGGAGAAGCCGCCAGTTTGTCAGCGACAGTTTCTGGCCCCACAGCATAGTTTGCTCTTGGTAATGCAGCCAGGTGCCATCATGCGGTTGCCAGTTGCGGCACAAAACAGTATCCATGGGGATTTAGTTTGCTGGTCAGAAAGAAAGGCTGTACATTTGCCGGATGAGGTTTGATCACACCCTGCATATGCACAATGACATGACATTGGGCATTGACTGAATTTGTTTGAAGCAGTTTCAGCGCCGAAGCACTCTGTGCTGCGCCAGGAGTTGGAGTCGGCGGCACCTTGGCTCAGATCTTGGCTTTTTGCGGGGACGATGTCCGGCCGGAGAAGGGATTGAAGTGGACGCTAATTACGCTGTGGCAAACGCTTGTCATGGTGGACCTTAGGCCTGATGGGCATAGTGACCTCGCTGTAAAGCGCTTCAGTAGGCAATTGTACGATGTAGAATAGTGAAATGCTCACACCAGACCCCAGATGCCCGGCAACTGTGCAGAGACTTGACCCAGGACAAACAGCCCCTGGTTGACGAGCCCATGGCCTTCCAGGAGTATTTGGCAGTGCCTTGGACTGATCTCCCTGGCCTCAGACAGACGGTTGGCTCGTTTCTTCGTAAATAGCCACCGACTTTGCATATGTTTGTGTGTTTGATGAGTGTTTGTGCGCGAGTATGCACATGCGCAGTGCTGTGTTTGTGTGTGCGGGTGCGCAGAGTGCATGTGCAAAAGCGCGTGTTTGTGTACCTAAAGTTGAGAGGGAGACTGGTGATGGATTGATTGATCTTCAAAGATCCTCACAACGACAAGTCTAGTTGTTGAGTTGTTGCTGTGGTAGGTCATGGCAAACTGCTTTGGAACTGAGGCCAAGACCAATGCTGGGAAGAGCGTCCCGAAGGCATACCAAACGGGCGCCAGCATGAGAGTTTTAGTTTGATGCTTGGTGCTTTCTCCTGTTTCTCACAGATTAGCTACCCTCAAACTGGTTTGCCTGTTTGCAGGAGCAAGCAGTGGTAGGAATTGCCCCCGCGATTCAGCTAGTCTCAAACCAGTGGTAGACCTTCAACATGGCTTTCTTACAAACATTCGACGATCACCAAATATCTACTCTTTGTGTCACGTACTTGACGCATCTTGACGCGCAAGGCCTTCATCAAGGGCGAGTTCCTTGGAGGTGGCGATGATGTGGTGGACCTCAACAAGCGGGGCGTGCTGTTGGAAAAGTGCTGCTTGCTTATGCCATTAGTTCGGTCGGCGCAGTTGGACACGGTTGACGCCTTCGCGGTTTCCTGACAGGGACTGCAGAAAAATATCATTATTCACTCGTTGGGTGTCGCAATGTGGCCGACATGAGAGTGAATTTCCTAACATACGGAACAAGCCGCATTACATGTGACCTAAATCCATATCCCGTATCATCATCTCTGGAATGTCGTGTTGCCGTGTTGCTTCACTCAGATCACGCATGCGCACCCATGTTTCATTGGGACTTTGAAATGTCCGGTGGGGTTCAGGAGCTTCGGTCTGCTTCGGGAAAACAAACACAAGACCTTAAGACGCCTTTCACGCCGAGTCAACGCAGGTGTGGCAGTTGGCGCTGCAGAGAAGCAGTCCACCAAGGCGCGGCTTGGAACGTATACCCTGAAAGAGTAGAGCACTAAATGTCAAGCGAACTCCCATGGCATCTAAGGTTCTTAGCACGGCTTCATGGTTCTGTTGCTAAAGAACGCATGGTTTGGTGCTTGGGTCCTTGGGTCGGATGACATGCAGGCCATGCATACTTTTTGAAGGTCTCGACCACCACAGCTCAGCTGCTTTCCAGGCAGATACGCACTTCTTCTTCAATGGCCGCCCTGACGATTTCGACAAAGCGACCTTGTGTTGGAAGAATGGCGGTTTGAACATGTTGGTTGTGTGTTTGATTTGCCCAATCCCGTGTTTTCAAGTCAAAGACTGCCAGGCAAGACCATCTCGGAGGCGGAGTGGAAGAAGTGTGCTGTGTGAGGCTAGTCTGCGCATGTGCATCGCGGCCGAATGTAGGTTATGTCGAAAAAACGGGTTCAGTTGTTCTTCTCACACACTGCAGTGTGCGGTTTTGTTTGCGAGCAGATCATTGATTGCTTGAAAAAGTGGCTGGCGAAGCCCTTTGCTAATGGCGTGCACCGAAGTGCCTGATTTGTTTTCGCAAGGTGTCGTAGCGCGACGCCCAACAAGGGGTGTCACCGTGGCGGATGAGGAAGTGCAACCTGGGGTCATTCGGCGGTTCGCCCCAGCCCACGTTGCCAGAAGGTAGCCCAAGCGAGTGACAACACCGCACTGAGTTTAGGCAGTCTTTCAGGAGCTTGAAGTGGCTAAGGAGTTAGAAAGGCTAGAACCATTCCAAACCGCTCGTGGAGCTTGAGCTGAACCCTGTGATGAGCAGTGCATCCATTTCGTCTTGCTTCCTGAAACGGCGGAACTCACAGCGGCAGTTGGAAGAGCTTGGGGCTATTACCCTGGCATGCTTGACCCAAGGCGTTTCAGCAGACCCTGGTTTTTTGCCGTTTGTTGAGTGGTGTTGCTGATATAGACATTAAGTGAGACTCAGGGTCCACGTCTGGAGATCGGCACTTTTTTTGAGAGCCCACTCTAAAACAATTGTTAATACCTCGCAGCCATGCTTTAGTGCGCTGGACACCTGGCCCGATGTTTTGCAGTTGCTTGATGCTGCGGGGAGCAGTGAGGACACATGCATGGCCCTGCTTGTACAGGTCGCACAGCATGTGACTGCATCCGGAGAAATGCAAAGCTGAATGCAACAAATTTGTTGATGGATGTTGGATTTGATTCACTATTCAGGTCAGAGGATGAGGTGGGTGTTTTGCAGGATACGACTCCCGCCAATAATCAGCAACTAATTCAGCTTTATGGACAGTTCCCGGATGCTGACAGAGACGTGGATGGACGGTTCTTGCTTGGAGGACCCAGACTCACGGAGAGAAAGACTCGGCGTTGCACGGTGTGTGATGTGTCAGACCAAAATCCTTGGATCACTGGTCGGCTTTTTGATTGATTTGGCAGGGAGGGAACAGATCAGATCAAGTGGGTTGTTAAAATGTGTGTCAAAGCTGCTTGATCCCGACCCCATCTTGATATTGACTGAAACATAGGCAATATGTTGCTTGGTACATATTGGACAGGGCCAAGAACATAGATGTACATTTGCGCGTTCAAGGATTAGCAGATGGATTGCCGATCATGATGGAATATGGGCGGTAAGAGAAATCACAGAGAGCAGGATATTCCTAGCAAGCTGTAGACCATACAGTACTGTCAAGTCAAGGCATGTTGGTGTACAAGTATATCACCAGCTTGACATGAAGTACAGCAATACCAGCATATTCAGTGCAAACACGTATTACAAGCTTAACAACTTCCAGATCATATTTGTGGTGCTTGTGACATCTATGATACGGTGAATGGCAAATCAATTGGTAGGAGCTGTGGTTCAGCTTCGGCCCCCTAGCTCACTTGCGACCCAAAAAGAAATGATGGGACCCCCAGTGTAATACGTTGAACCGCAGAGGTGCCAATCACCAATGGTGTGCTCCTGCAAGTCCAGATTATTTGTATGTGGAGTGCAGATCTCATTCGCCAATGAACCAAGCCACAGCAACAAAACTAACAAAACGATCAATTCCGGTGTCTTCCATGACAGTGACTGACAGTCGAGGCGCGACTTGGCTTGGGCCTCGAGGGCGGAAGCCTGGCAGATGCCGGGCCCGAGGCCCCAGCCGTTGGATCATAGTGTTTGCTTTCAGACATTCAGAGGCTAGACTTCGATTGAAAGGGTGTCATGATACGGAATCACACAATGCTGGTCTTACAGCATGTCTCAACACCAATGCTTTGCCCCCGAGCTTGACCTGGTGGTTGTCGCTGAAAGCATATTAATATGGCACTTTGATCCTAGAAGATGTTGCGTCGGCTTTTGCCAGTTGATCATGCAAGCTGTTGACCTATCCATCTCATTGCGAAGGATTCAACACATGACCTGACTCAGTTGTAGGCACTTTGCACACCTGCAGTTCCAAGCACTAATTCAATCCAGTACTCAAGGCATGGGTGCAGGCTGGGAAATACGGTTGCATTGATGACATTGAAGGATCAGCCTGACACCTTTGTGTGCAGACAGTACCATCCATTGTACCATGGTCAGGCTCAGTCGCCGGCAAGCAGCCTTTCTTGATGTTTTTTGCCGCAAGGCTACTGGATGCAGCAGTGACCTGCGTTCAGAAGGTACGGATGCACAGCATGGTGTACAGTAGAGAGAGAGAGAGAGAAAGAGAGCACTTGATGGACTTCCTCTCGCATTTGAGATTTGAGCGCCAGATTTCCCAGGCCTGGCTTTGCAGCAAACATGGGAACAGCTGCGTTGGGGCGTTGAAAGCCAGGCATTGTCATGGGAGAGTGCTCACATGCGCGGCCGCTAGTGCTTGCACACTTTTAATGATATTGACTGGAGTATGCACGCGCTTAGCATGCACTTTTTATGTGTACAAGAAGTACATACATTCCTTTCTTCATTCATCCATCCATTCATCCATTCATTCATCGATTCATTCAGTCATGTCATGTCATTTCAGTTCATTTCCTTTCATTTAAATTCATTTCATGTCATTGCATGCCATGTCCATTCTTTCGTTCGTTTGTTCATTCATTCATTGGTTCATTCATTCATTGGTTCATTGGTTCATTGGTCCATTGGTCCATTGGTTCATTCATTCATTGGTTCATTCATTCAGTCATTCATTCATTCCACCATTCCATTCCATTCCATTCCATTCCACTCCATTCCATTCCATTCCATTCCATTCCATTCCATTCCATTCCATTCCATTCATTGGTTCATTGATTCATTGATTCATTGGTTCATTGATTCATTGGTTCATTCATTCATTGGTTCATTCATTCATTGGTTCATTCATTCATTTATTCATTCATTAATTCAGTCAGTCATTCATTTATTCATTCATTCATTCATTCATTCATTCATTCATTCATTCATTCATTCATTCATTCATTCATTCATTCATTCATTCATTCATTCATTCATTCATTCATTCCACAATCAATCAATCCATCAATCAATCAATCAATCGATCGATCAATCAATCAGTCAGTCAGTCAGTCAGTCAGTCAGTCAGTCAGTCAGTCAGTCAGTGAATCAGTGAATCAGTCAATCAGTCAGTCAGCCAATTAATCAATCAATCAATCAATCAATCAATCACTCAATCAATCAATCAATCAATCAATCAATCAATCAATCAATCAATCAATCAATCAATCAATCAATCAGCGTTTGTACCGTGCGTCAGACACTGTTGCAAAGAGGAGCGTGCTGATTTTTGCTTTCATGCTCGCGCAGATGCCTGCGCGAACAGCCCCAGTGTCCATGCTGACTAATTACACCTTGAGTCACTGCCAGCATGAAATCTTACCGCAGCCAGGCTTTGTGGAACATCTCGACAGCCAGACCCAGGGTCAGGCTCCGAGAGTTTCGCGTTGTTGCGGGCAAGCCGCATTCTGGAAGGCGGTGCTGACGTTTCGTGATGAATCTTTTGAGGAGTTGGTCTTGAATAGGGTGAACCTTCACTATTTTAACGCCTCCGGCTCAGGCCGCCGACATTACAGGCCTGCTTTCTTATTTGCATCCCTTTAGAATTGTCCCCTTGCCCCCCTTCCCCTCTAAGATTTTTGCCCTTTCCCTGTTGAGATCCATTCCCCCTTTCCCCCCTAAGGCCCTTTCTCCCTCTGAGTTTTTTCCCTTTTCCTCCCTAAGATGTTTTCCCCCCTCTCCCTGTTGAGATTCTTTCCCCCCTTTCCCCCCTAAGGCCTTTTCCCCCCTGAGATCTTCTCCCTTTTCCTCCCTAAGATTTTTTCCCACCTTTCCCTATTGAGATCCTTCCCCCCTGTCCCCCCTAAGGCCTTTTCCCACCCTGAGTTCTTCTCCCTTTTCCTTCCAAAGATCTTTCCCCCCCTTTCCCCCCTAAGGCCCTTTCTCCCTCTGATATTTTTTCCCTTTTCCTCCCTAAGATGTGTTCCCCCCTCTCCCTGTTGAGATCCTTTCCCCCCTTCCCCCCTAAGGCCTTTCCCTGAGATCTTCTCCCTATTCCTCCCTAAGATCCTTTGCCCCGTTTCCCTGTTGAGATCCTTCCCCACTTCCCCCTGAGGCCTTTCCAGGTCTTCTCCCTTTTCCTTCCTACGATTTTTCCCCCCTTTCCCTGTTGAGATCCTTCCCACCCTTTCCCCTCTAAGGCCTTCCCCCCCCCCCCTGAAAAAGCTTCTCCCTTTTCCTTCCTAAGATCTTTCCCCCCCTTTCCCTGATGGCCTTTTTTCCCCCAGATCTTCTCCCTTTCCTCCCTAAGATCTTTTGCACCCCTTTCCCTGTTGAGATCATTTCTCCCCTTTCCCCCCTAAGGCCTTTGCCCCCAGATCCTTTCCCCCCTTTCCCCCCCAAGGCCTTTTTTCCCTCCGCGATCTTCCCCCTTTTCCTTCCAAAGATCTTTTCCCCCCTTTCCTTGTTGAGATCCTTTCCCCCCCTTTCCCCCCTACGGCCTTTTCCCCCCAAGATCTTCTCCCTTTTCCTCCCTAAGATGTTTTCCCCCCTTTCCCTGTTGAGATCCTTTCCCCCCTTTCCCCCCTAAGGCCCCTTTCCCCCCTAAGGCCTTTCCCCCCCTGAGATCTTCCCCCTTTTCCTCTCCAAGATCTTTTCCCCCGGTTGAGATCCTTTCCCCCTTTCCCCCCGAGATCTTTTCCTCCCCAGGATCTTTTCTCCCTGTCCCTGTTGAGATCCTTTCCCCCCCTTTCCCCCCTAAGGCCTTTTCGGATCTTCTCCCTTTTCCTCCCCAAGATCTTTGCCCCCTTTCCCTGTTGAGATCCTTTCCCCCTTGCCCCCCTAAGACCTCTTCCCCCCCTAAGATGTTTTCCCCCCTTTCCCTGTTGAGATCATTTCCCCCCTTTCCCCCCTAAGGCCTTTTCCCCCCTGAGATCTTCTCCCTTTTCCTCCCTAAGATCTTTTCCCACCTTTCTTTATTGAGATCCTTCCCCCCCTGTCCCCCCTAAGGCCTTTTCCCAACCTGAGTTCTTCTCCCTTTTCCACCCTAAGATCTTTTCCCCCCTTTCCCGCTTAAGATCCTTTTCCCCGTTTCCCCCCTAAGGCCTTTTCCCCCCAAGATCTTCACCCTTCTCCTCCCTAAAATATTTTCCCCGCTTTCCCGTTTGAGATCGTTTCCCCCCATTGCCTCTAGGGCCTTTTCCCCCCGAGAAAGATTTCCCTTTTCCTCCCTTCCCCCCTAAGGATTTTTTCCCCAGATCTTCTCCCTTTCCTCCCTGAGATCTTTCCCCCCCTTTCCCTGTTGAGATCCTTTCCCCCCTTTCTCCCCCTTCCCCCCTAAGGCCCTTCCCCCGCGCCGAGATCTTCTCCGTTTCTAAGATCCTTTGCCCCCGTTGAGATCCTTTCCCCCCTTCCCCCTAAGGCCTTTCCAGATCTTCTCCCTTTTCCTCCCTAAGATCTTTTCCCCCCTTTCCCTGTTGAGATCCTCCCACCCTTTCCCCGCTGAGGGCTTTCCCCCCCCTGAGAGCTTCTCCCTTTTCCTTCCTAAGATCTTTTCCCCCCTTTCCCTGTTGGCCTTTTTTCCCGCATATCTTCTCCCTTGCCTCCCTAAGATCTTTTCCACCCCTTTCCCTGTTGAGATCATTTCTCCCCTTTCCCCCCCTAAGGCCTTTTTTCTCAGATCTTCTGCCTTTCCTTCCTGAGATCTTTCCCCCCCTTTCCCCCCTAAGGCCTTTCCCCCCCTGAGATCTTCTCCCTTTTCCTCCCTAAGATCTTTCCCACCCTTCCCTGTTGAGATCCTTTCCCCTAAGATCCTTCCCCTCTTTTCCGGTTGATATCCTTTGCCCTCAAGGCCTTTTCCCCCCAGATCTTCTCCCTTTCCTCCCTAAGATCTGTCCCCCCCTTTCCTCCATAAGATCTTTCCCACCCTTTCCCTGTTGAGATCCTTTCCCCCCTTTTACTCCCCAATGCCTTCCCCCCCCGAGATCTTTCCCCCGTTTCCTCCCTAAGATCCTTCCCCTCTTTTCCGGTTGAGATCCTTTCCCCCCTTTCCCCCCTTTCCCCCCTAAGCCCTTTTCCCCCCAGATCTTCTCCCTTTCCTCCCTAAGATCTTTCCCCCCCTTTCCTTCCTAACATTTTTCCCGCCCTTTCCCTGTTGAGATCCTTTCCCCCCTTTCCCTCCTAAGGCCTTTCCCCCCCTGAGAGCTTCTCCCTTTTCCTTCCGAAGATCTTTTCCCCCCAGATCTTCTCCCTTTCCTCCCTAAGGTCTTTTCCACCCCTTTCCCTGTTGGCCTTTTTTCTCAGATCTTCTCCCTTTCCTCCCTAAGATCTTTCCCCCCCTTTCCTCCCCTTTTACTCCCTAAGGCCTTTCTCCCCCTGAGATCTTTCTCCCTTTTCCTCCCTAAGATCCTTCCCCTCTTTTCCGTTGAGATCTTTTCCCCCTTTCCCCCCTAAGTCCTTTTCCCCCCTGAGAGCTTCTCCCTTTCCTCCCTAAGATCTTTCCCCCCCTTTCCTCCCTAACATCTTTCCCGCCCTTTCCCTGTTGAGATCCTTTCCCCCCTTTCCCTCCTAAGGCCTTTCCCCCCCCCTGGGAGCTTCTCCCTTTTCCTTCCTAAGATCTTTTCCCCCCTTCCCCCCCTAAGGCCTTTTTTTCCCAGATCTTCTGCCTTTCCTCCCTAACATCTTTCCCCCCCTTTCCCTGTTGAGATCCTTTCCTTTCCCCCCTAAGGCCTTTCCCCCGTGAGATCTTCTCCCTTTTCCTTGCTAGGATCTTTTCCCCCTTTCCCGGTTGAGATCCTTTCCCCTCTTTCCCCCCTGAGGCTTTTGTCCCCCAAGATCTTTCCCTTCCCCCCCGATCTTCTCCCCAGTTCCCCCCTAAAGCATTTTTCCCCCCTTCTTCGAAGATCTTCATTTCCCTTCACTTTCGTATTTTGTTCCTTTTTTTTTTATTTCACTTCATGTTATTCATGTCCATGCATTTTCCTTCATTTGCAGATGTTCCTTCACCAGCATGGGCAACATCCCCAGCATCACTTGCATCACCCGCATCCTTGGCAGGCGCTGATGCGGATGATGCAGGTGATGCTGGCGATGTTGCCCAGGAGCTGCTAAGGATGCGAAAGCGGACCCGGGGGGAATCGAACATGACAAACTGAGTTGCGCAGCCCGATTTAGTTCTAATCACCGCGTGGTACGTGGACCCCCCCCCCCGCAATAGTCTGAAATGGTGCCCCTGGGGAGGGGTAAGGGGAGGGGTAGCAGGTAAAGAGGTAAGGAGCATTTCTTATGTCCAACACGCCGTCTGTTGTTTACCGGGATCCCTTGACCATAGAGGGCCAAAGGTTGAGTCGAACATGTGGCCAGCTCTCAAGCGCTGATTGCTGGATGCATTGCTGAGCTCAGTGACCAAGGCAAACAACACCCACCAAGAGCCACGCACCAACGCATAGAAACGCAGAAGCTAGACAAACTGAACGGGAGCTATTTGAGTTGCAGGTGAGCACTGGCCACACACTGTTTGGCCACTGGTATTGGGAACCTGAGACAGGATCAAAGAACATGTGTGTAGAACCTGAAGAGCAGAAAAACGTGCCGGTAAGACGACGCGGAGCATTGAAAGTCCTTCAAAAATCGATTCCATGGCGATGCAGTTTGCACTGATGTCGAATTGTGCAAGCCACTGTAACATAGTCTATGGACGCATGATTGCCGTAGGCAGCGGGTAAATTTGTTTGAGTTGACGCAAAGACATGCAAAACTGAAAGCATTTGCACAACCATGGTTTGAACATCCTTGTGGTGGCTGGTTTCCCAGTTCCAACCAGCTGGAGCCTGGGACCCTGAGTAACTTTGCAAGCGCACGATGGTTTAACCCAGTCACCAACGGCTGTGCTAGTTGACGAAGCTCGAGTTTGAGATTTGGCAAACGACTGCGCCGTGTTTGCCCGCATTTGGCTTTGGATGTGCTGGATCCCTGCGACTCGATGCAACGATGTCCTGTTGGCTGCCATGTTGGCCAGGCCTCGGCCACAGTTCGCCTGTCCTCAGGTGCTGGTCATTGGCTGCGGCCTTTCTCCGCTGGTCTTTGTTCTCGCAGATCGCCTGCCGGCGCGGGGTATGGCGCGGGCGTGGGCGGGCAGGGCTTCCACACGAGCTGGACAAATGAAAGGGCGACGGGTCCCCTTCAGGATCTTGAAGGCTCGAACAAATGTTGGGAGTTTTATTATAGGACCAACTTACATAGAGTGTGTGTGTGTTCAGGCAGAATAACTCGGCCCTTCTCAAAGGGAGGACAAAAGACAAGTTGAAGGGGGCAGAGCTGGGAATGTTTTGGCATTTGTTATGTTGGCTGTGAGCCTGGGCATCCAAAACAACCCCTTTAAAGATAAACAGAAGCGAAGGCGTGGAAGGCAACATAATATCGTGCTCGTGTCATTCAAGTTGAAAGAACACGTAAAATGACAGCTGTCAAAGTTTGAAGTTCTGACCCAAATGCATCGTTGTCTGCCATAGTGCAATAATATGGAGAACCAACACGAACCAACATGCGACCGGAGCATCACAGTTGCAACACGTGCCACCATTTTGTTTAGTAGATTGCTGGAAATTCAGGACAACGAAGATTGTTCTCCGGAAGTGCATGATGGGAGTCTAGTGAAATCACAAACAAATTCAAGTGGAACCGCCCAGCTGACCGGTTCAAGCCTATCCGGAGGTGGATGCAAGCTGCTTGGAATTGTCGCCCAGCTTGCTGGAGAGCCTGGAGGCGAGGGGAGTGAGGACCACTCGCACTGTGGGTCACTGATGTAACTTGAATTGATGCCTATGTTGATTGCAGACCTCTAGTGTCAGTGTTATAGTCAACTCGCTCCGTCTGTGCTCAGTCACATTTTGAGAAGCGCTCGCACAAGCGCGCACGCACACACACACACAGACAGAGACACAAGAGCTGAATGATTGCTGATTGCTGAACCCCAAGCGTTAGATATCTGAATTCTTGCTGCACTGCTACGACCATCTTGGCGATCAGCTCCCTCTGGCGGCTCAGCCAGAGGCCATGGCTTCCCCACTGCCGCGGCCCCCGAGCTTCGCACAGGGCGACATCACGGCTGGGAGCCCGGGGTTCAAAGGCTGTTCCGATGTCTGAAATGGTTGATAATAATAATATATATATATAAAAATCCGTCGCTGGGGGACGCACACCTGCGGCCCAGAATATTTTGCTAGTTGGCTTCCACCCTCCACGAACGGCTCAACACGCACCCTCCCTGCAAACCCCACTTCATTCTTGCCTGTGGCCTAAGGCCCCAGAGGCATCCACAGACGAGGCTTCGCCGTGGTCGTGGTGGGTGCGTTTGCCATGTCGGTAGGAATGAAGACTGGGCAGGCAGATATGAAGTGCGATGGTTTGTTCAAAATGAATACATTGACTTGAGGCGGAATACGTCGCCACATGTTGTCGTACTGTGATTTGGTAGAGGTTAGCTAGTTTTACCAGTTAAAATGCTGGGTGTAGGTTCTGAGCATTTTGGACCCACACGAACTTTTTCGCAGCTCCTGTTTTGCTATTTCCAGCACCGTGGCCGTTGTTACAGTTTGAATTCGCACTTTGCCTTGAGCCTAAACGCTGCAACTCAACTGTCAAATATTGAGCCACCTAAGGCGTGCGTCAAAAGCCACAGATTCCAAATTGGTTTCCCTGTGTGACCATTGGGCAGAAAAGCGAGTGATTCGCAAGATACTCGTGGCACAAATTGGCTATAGGCGTTTGCGAATCAGCTGGCTCGGACTGCGATCCACAGGTTCATGACGCAATTTCAAGAGCTTCACTCTTTCTTTGTGAGAGCTACAGTCAAGGTTGGATCGGTTTGTGGGTAAAAGATAATCCCCATATATGGCACTTGCAATGCTAACGTTAAATTAATCTAATTGGCGTAGACTCCTAAACTCCTACGTCAATATCTACCAATAGAGTCGGCGAAGCCAGGGGGCGGAAGTTTCAACATATGATAATTATAGTTTGATTTATCTGTCTCTTCATCTGTTTCTTCTTTCTCTTTATCTTTATATCATCTTTCTTGCTTTCTTCAAACCAATAATGCATTTTGTGTTTTACCTTTCTCTTTTTCTTATATATTCCCGCATTTTATTCATCGATCTCGCCCTCTTATCTTCCTCTTCTCGTTCCCTTCATTATCTTGTAGTATCTTCATCTTCTTCCTCTTCTGCCTCTTCTTCCTCTTCTTCCTCTTCTTCCTCTTCTTCCTCTTCTTCCTCTTCTTCCTCTTCTTTTGTGTTCTTTCTCTTCTTTCTCTTCTTTCTCTCTCTGTATCTGTCTCTGTTTCGTCTATCTATCGTTCTTTCTATCTAATTATCAATCTATCTACCGATCCATCAATCCATCCATCCATCCATCCTCCCATCCATCCATCCATCCATCCATCCATCCATCCATCCATCCATCCATCCATCCATCCATCCGTCCATGCGTCCATGCGTCCACACATCCATTGTGTCCTTGTTTATGCTCACGGCGTCCTTCACGACCCCGTGGAGTTCTTTGTTTTTTGGACGTTCATCCCTGCGTTCATGCATCATGGTTCGGGGGCGGGGGGGGAGGGGGGGTGGGTCGGGGGGTATGACAAGCACACCCGCTCAACGCTCAACTGCTGCAGACCAGCCTGCTCTGTTACCGGATTACAAAATAACATGGTTCTGGGGGGGGGGGGTTGGGGGGGGCATGATAAGCACACCCGCTCAACTGCTGCAGATGCGTCTTTCACCCCTGAGGCATTCACTGGCCCAACCTTTGGCTCCAGGACCATGGGTCATCATTTTGTTCTCGCTCTTTCTGTTGCCTACGTTCTGCTGCTGCGTGTCGCGTGTGCACCCTGCCCCATTGTTGACTCGTGGTTCCAGGCATTGTGGACGTGTGATCCGTTCTTGTTGGACGCTCGCTTTGAAGTTTTCGCTGGTTCGTCTGATCCTTTCGCGCATTTTGCGGCATCTGTTGGTGCGATATCTGCTCGAAGCCCTTTGTCCTGGTGTCGGCAGCCTCAAGAAACGCACGTGTGTTGGCCAGCGGCACGAAGTGCTGCTATTTTTGAGCGAGGCCACAATGTCCGGCTATGTATGACTTGGAAACAGATGAAGGCGGCTCGCTCGCGAGCTTTGAGAAGTTGCCTTGAAAAAAACAGAGGCCGGCAGCCTCAAGAAACGCGCGTGTGTTGGCCAGCAGCGCAAAGTGCTGCTATTCTCAGGCGATTTGGCCCTTTCTTGTCAAAGCCATGGTAAAAATGGAACAAAATAAACATGGTGCGTGTCAACGATGCAGCGAAATGTTCATAAATCGCAGGAATTTTGGTAAACGTGCTTGGTCGCCATGGTCAAAAGCAGCGTGGTCATTAGCAACGCCGTGACCTTGTTTATGTGTATATCTATCTATCTATCTATCTATCTATCTATCTATCTATCTATCTATCTATGTATCGATCTATCTATCTATCCATCTATCTAGCTTTCTATTTATCTGTCTATCTATCTATCTATCATCCTGTCCTACCTATCCTATCCTATCCATCTATCTATCGTGTCCTGTCCTGTCCTATCCTATCCTATCCTAGCCTATCCATCTGTCTATCTATCTGTTTATCTAATCTATCAATCAATCTATCTATGCATCTATCTATCTATGTATCTATCTATCTATCTAATCTATCTATCTATCTATCTATCTATCTGTCTGTCTGTCTGTCTGTCTGTCTGTCTGTCTGTCTGTTCATATATATATATATACACATTTGTATGCGCCTATCTGTTTCTTGTTTGTCCATCTATTTGTCTATCTATCCAGCTATGTATTTGTTTGTTTATCTATCCATCGATGTATATATTTTGTCCATCCATCTAACGACCCATCTATCGACCGACCTTTTGATATTTATTTATGGTTCTATGTATGTTTCCACCTCCAGTATTCTATCTTCTTTTAAAAGAAAATCTATATATTTGTCAAGTGCTGCGCCTGCCGCGAAATCTGAACTTGGCTTCCAAATTCCTGACCTTGAAAGTGCTGTGCCTTCCACGAAAGCTGTACCTGACGTTGCGAAAGTGCTGCGCCTGCCACAAAATCTGCACGGAATCTGCACGGAATCTGCAAAATCTGCATGGAATCTGTACCTGACTTTGCTGACCTGCCGAGCAAACTGATGTCGCGAACAGTGCTCATGGGCCCGGCTCCGAGATCGCTCCGAACGCGCTCCGAGGTCGCTCCGAGATCGTTCCGACCAGGCGTCGCAGTAAGGCTAAGTGTCAGCATCCGAAAGCACTGACATCCGCAGAGGGCTGCACCTTTCAGACACTTCTGTTCTCCCGCCACTCTCGCGAGCGCCTTTTGTTTCGTGCCGGCTGATTCGTCTACTGCCTTCTGTCAGAGACATGGATGTCAGTTAGTCGCCGTACCACCATTTTTTTCTTCTAAGCTTCCTTGAATGAGAACCAGACATGTTTCGGGTGTTGCCACCTCAAGGTGCAGCGGTGACACGGAAGTTTTTAGGCTTGTGAAGTTGTTGGGACCAGACGATGATTTGTTTGTCATTCCTTGATCTCACCTTTTAGAGCTTCACCGTTGTTTACAATGCTAGAGTGCTTGGGACGTGTTGGGTCACTTCGAGGCGTTGAAACCCAGCTCCTTTGATGTCATTGTCGATGAGAATGTGCTGGATGGCATGGCGCGGGGGGTATCCGGGTGGGTTTGGGCGGTCAGAAGTATGTTGGATTTGGGGAGTTCTTTGCTGCAGCATGTAATCAACAGGTAAATCCGTTTTGGCCGGATTTAGTGCAGTGCTATGGTTGTATTATCCTCGTGGGCCCAGCTGGATGAATGTTTTGGCATGTTGCAACCTACTGATGCGCATGCTTGAGCAACACGTGCCTTGCATTGGACCGGTTGCCTTACAAACAATGGGATGTTTGCCATTGTCTTGTCAGACGACAGAATCACCAGGTCACACCCTCAGAACAGATTTCCGCCTGGCCCGTTTTGGCAGCGGAGACTTCAAACATGACATTCTGACCATGCCTGAAGGGGCAAGCCCTGCTGGCTGACTGCCGTTTACGATGCCTGCTGGAATTAGTGGCCCGAGGCCGGCCTTCAAGTTGAGCATCCTTGTAATATCCACGAGAGCCGGAGTTCATGGTTTGACCCACAGCAGCAATATCAAGACATGTTGAAGCCAACTTCTGCAGCCAACCTCTCCCTTCAGGCATTAGCCGAAGAAAGTGCTGCATGTGATGTGCATCGCTGCACTCGCAGCTTGATACGGCCCAACTCCTGGACAAAAAGAATCGGCAAAGATGGTGTCTTGTCGGGAAGTCGATGTTGGGATTTCCTTTTTGACTGTGGGAGGTTCGTCAATGTGTCGCAACTCGATCTGTTGCCCGAAGGATGGCGCATGTTGTGTTTGCAGGCGTGCCGCTTTCCCATCAGCGTGGGAATCGCCTCGCTGCAGCAGGCGGGAGAGCTTTTCAAAGGGATTCAGCGCCAAAGGTCAAAATGTTGGAAATGTCAGGCTTATGTATGAAAGAGTTGCCTGAGAGCCAGCCAGCATTGGCCCTTTTTGCAAGACATGACTATGGTTCATAGTCAACAAGCACAAGCCTTGGCTGCAGATCTGGGTTACTTTGACCCGGCCAGCTAGTTGGAGCCGGGTTGCGCGTGGTTGCGTTGCCTTCCGTGTTTTGAAGATGAAATCATACACGACTGGATGTTGTTTGGTCCCCTGTGAGCTTTGGATTTTCAATTGGATGTGTGGTGAGCACAAGTCCGGTGGATTCAGAGCACAGGCATATGTTTTCAACTCGCAGGAGGTTGCAATGATAATTTGATCATCAGTTATGTCTTGCGATTATGTAGCGGGGTTGGGACAAAATGAACAGTTCTTTTTGTGCAGTTTGGGCTTTGGGCTTGCACGAACGTTTTCCCTTACGAGGCACTTCAGGGCATCACCTGGCTACTGCAACCAGCAGGGCGTTTGGTCACGCTCGGCAGCCCAGAGTGTCAGACGTGTGGTGAACAACTCACTAGCCGAATGGCAGGACGGGTCTCCTTCGGTAGATTGAGTTGTGGTCTTAGGTATGATAGGTCCTAGTGCTTGAGCCGTGATCGGACTGCACCTTCAACTGTATCCACAGTTTATCCCTCCTTGCGTGGTATATGCTGAATAAGCGCTGTGGTGTGAGAATTTGCTTCGGACGCAAGCAGGTGTGGAATGGGTTGCTTCTGATCCGCCATTGAGCGCAGGTGATCAATTTTGCGACCCAGTTACTTCCACGGTGATGCGCAGCATTGGGATTTTGGATGTCTTGGAGCAAGGGTGGTCATGAATATGCTGCGCAAGTGATCCACCTTCGAATCGGAGAAGTAGGATTTGGTGATTGAGATGAACCGCTGGCATTCTACGAACCGTTGACCTGTGTTGATTGCATGGATCTCGAATTGCATGCTGCATTCGCTCAACATGTCTTGAAATGATTCGTTTTGTTCAGGGGGAGCGGAAAGCAGTGGCTCCTATGTGGTGTCTTTTGGATAGTGCAGTAAGCCAAGGATCTCTTTTGCACCACTGGCGGCTGACCCCTACTTGGACTCCTTCTACGATTGGGCCTGAGACCCAAAAGTGTGTGATGTTGAGCGGTAGCAAGGAACACCGAGCAAGCAGCTTGATTGCTAGATGCAGTCATGACCTCAGGTTCTTCAGCCAGGCTGCGCGCTTGACCCGCTGCACGCAGCGAGTTGGGGCAAGCGGCACTCCCCGCACTCTCGACAGCATGGCGCTGCAAAGAGTGCCGAGACATGACCCAGGTGTAAGTCAGTGATCCAGCCACAACACAGACAAAAGCTTCAACTGCATGACCTTGGCCCTGCTTGCTCTTGCAGCCAGCACAAGTTCTGAACAAAAAAGCTTCAACTGCTTGCTCTTGCAGGCAGCAAGATTTCTGCACAAAGTCTGGCTATGGGTTCAGAAAGTACAGCTCAGAATTCAGCAAAGGTTGTGAGCTTGAGACGTGTGGCCCGACCCCCTGGTATAGTTGATCACGACGCGCTTTCTCAGCATCCGCAACAGGCGCCCACCACACGCTGCGCTGCATGATGATCGGCTTTGTTTTTCCACTTGTCAACCGTTGGTGATGCTGGCGATGCTGGACACCTTGCGGACTACCAGACAGACCGGCCGCTCCAACCAGCAAGCAGCTGCTTTGACGTACATGGAAGCACTACTTGAATTACAGTTTCAGGCATGTGTGATTTTGCCTCTTGGAGTGAGGGTAAGCCGTCAGATCCTTCAAACGTCGGCACCAACGTTTTGGGCGGCTCAAGGCGAGTCTCACCAAACCTTGTGACTGCTTGCTGCCGTTGGCATTGCTGGCATAGGGCAATTTGAGAGGTGCCAATGCAACGCGGCTCAGCTTCCTAGCACGCGTGCAAGTCAACGGGGCAAAGTTCGAGTAACAGCTGAGCCAGCCGCGATGGTAGCCATCAATCTGAACGTATTTGTGCGCTCACCTGACCCGGACAACTACAATGACAACCTCAATATGATGGGGGAGCCTTGCTCTTGCGCTTTGCACTTTGCAGCTGCCTTCGCGGATAATTGTGAAGCGTTTGGGGGCTTCTGTATGAGGACAACTTCAAGCACTTGCTCGAGTCAAGCCGCTACTTTGCCAATTGAAAGGCCGAGCATTCAGGCACAGCATTGAATGTGTTTGGTTGATGAGCCGTGGTCCACTCAAGCAGCTGCTGCTCTACGTCTTGGTCGGCAGCGTGAAACCTGGCACCTGACAAATCAGCCTTCGCCTGTGTCAAAACGTATACGAGGAAACCGTGCACGCAGTGTTATTTCTGTGCACGTATGCAGAGGTCAGGTTTCTACACTTGCACAAGTAGCAGCGGACGTGTTGCTGGAGACTGGACAGTTCCTTTCCCCTCAAGATGAAAGATCTCCTCCAATGATCTTGATTTCCGAAAGGAAGGGATTAGTCTTGGTCATCCAGCTCTGGCTGTGGTAGTCAGGCAGAGCAAGAAGATAAAGCGGAAGTGAGGCGCAAAATCAGACAGGCGCAAGTCTGACAGGTGGCGAAAAAACATGTCGCTTACTCGGGTTTCTTACTCTGATCATTAGCAAGATTGAACAGGGTTGACTCCTCTAGGAAGAACACCCTTCCACAATTCACCTCTAATGATATGCTTGTTTCCGAATGTGTTGGGACGCTTCAGGAGGCGCTGAACTTCCTGGATGCGGATCCCCTGTGGCTCTTCGGCATCGCCGCAGTGGCCTCAGGATTTTGCGGATCAAGCAGTGAGGACATGCTCGCCCGCTAGAGATGCTTGGACACCCTCGCAATTGAATAGCTGCTACTGGGTCTTCTCGAACCAAGCGGCCTCAGCCGTTCAACTAGTACTGGTTCGCTTTGCTTTTTTGTTGGGCCATTTCGGAAGGATGTGGAACAGACACGTGGAATGCCGCCATTTGGAAGTGTCCCTGAGACTGTGTCTCTTAGCCAGTTTTGGCCGTCGCGAGTGTCAGGTTCTCGTGATCTCAAGCCTGTGCCAAGGACCCGGCAA